AAATAAATAATGATATTTACTTTTTTACCATAAGATTTTATTAATATCCATTTTACATTATTCTGTGATACAGGGCTAATAAACACACATCTTCATTGTTTATGTACATTAAAGGCACATAATGTAGACACACACTTGTAATTTTTTTCTAAATAATCAAGTATTTAATTTAATGTACATCATTATAGTGAACCACAAGTTGATCTGCAGTGACCAACTTTTAGAATACATACTATAATTTTGGGAAAATAATATCACATGTATGTTACAAAGGCAATGAAAACTTTGCAAACAGAGGCACTTGATATTGTATATGTCTAAATGAAAATAAGAGCATATCAAGAAAGTATATAAAGACATTCTTCAAATGAACACAATCCTTCATAGTAAATTCACTTCTAACTAAAAAAATAAAAACTAAAAATAAGTTCCATTTAAATGAAACATGATTTTTAAAAACAGTGAAATTATGACTGATCACATTCCAAAAATGGTTTAATTGAGGTTTTAATGATGACGGGCCCCAAAAAATCCCTGCACTTTTTTTCCATACTTTTTGCTTTTATCACAGAAAAGAATTAGCAGATTACAAATAGAACCATAAGTACCAGTCACCGTATGATAACGATGCAAATTGTAGCGTCATTTAAAAGGAGAACTACGGGGATAGTGAAAAAGTAGGTAGAATTACTAAAATTTACTGAACATTTTCAACAAGAGTGGGGATAAAGAGCAGAATTATCCATATGATATGATCAAGAAAAAAGTAGAATATTTTGTGAAGAGATTGTAGAAGAAATTTGAAAATTAGAAGGGAAAAATATACAAACTATACAAAAAAAAAACAACACTGAACACAACACAAGAGAGAAAAAGGAAAAGTGTGAAGCAACTGTGATATGTAAAGGGTAAACCTAACAGAATTACTTGGCTGTGAAGGGAAATATAATAGACAGCTATGCTCAGAGACTGATACAGGTAAAAGAAATTATTAATGCTGTTTGGTGAAGAAATATAGCATATGGTTGTATTACAGTAAATAATAAACTTGCATCAGGGGATAAACAGTAAAGGTGCTGGACATGCATTTTGCAACTTAGTTTGCAGAATGTGCAAGAACCTCAGTCTCCCACAAGTTCCCTTCAGTACTAATGCACCACAAGTTCCCTTCAATACTAATATACACTGCTGTGTGTACCATTTCATACTATTTTACTGGTGCAACAAATGGTAGTAAAACATACATGGAATATGATCAAATGTCCTTTTCTCTGCAAGTGTAAATGAAATATAATAAAATGTTCTGTCTTTTTCTGTGAGTGTCTAAACTGGAGAGTAAAACACATCACAAAGTTTAAGAAAATGCCATTTGGATGCTCAGCATTTATTTACATTTGTTGGACTTTGTGTTTATATATATCACTGGGAATTAGAATTTGTTCATCAAATTAGTCCTACATTTTTGGTATAAAGTTTTATGCTGTTACTTTCCACTATTTATGTATATTACAAACCTGAATGAAAATGTCATGATACTAAAATGTAAGATAGCTGTGTGTGTATATTCATATATATAAAATATCCACAGTTTCTAACAATTGAGATTTGTAGAAATTTAGCATTTTTATATAAGCTACAATTATACAGTTCACTAATAAAAGAAAATTTTACAAGAGAAAGTTAAAACAAAGTTTTAATAAAAATGAAAAAAAAAAAACATAAGCAATACACATTACCCGCTTTATAATGAAAATTATTATATCCATTTGAAACCTTGACAAACCTGTATATCCCATAATCTATGACTAAACATACTTCTTGTCAAAAAAGATATTTACAGATTATATACACAGCATCTATATGTTATCTTTGCTACACTTATAATCCTTATCTTTTTTTTTTTACATCAGTACATGAAACAAGGATCTTTGTAAATGCTTTATTACAACACAGTTTTGAAGTCTTTAGTCATAGCTGTTTGCTTTTCACATCAAGCAGTTATGACACAAACAACTTCACTTCAAAGTTCTATTATTATGTAACATTTTGGTAGGCATATCTATATGTTATTTACATAAATATTTATAGCTTCTGCTTAATAGTACCTTCTTCATCTAAGAGGGCCCTAAAACATCTGTTGTTTAATTTACTAACAACTTGCTTTCCAGTATAACATTCATGATGGCTCAAAATAAAAGGACACAGCTTCTTTCACAAGTCCAACCTAGTATCACCCTACATCATGCTCCTAAAGCAATGAGTAATTCACAATCCTAATTTTTCCATTACATTTATTGTCATTTAGAACCCTGTAGCTTTTACATCTGGCAAAAAAAGGGAAAAGTCAATAGTATTTTTTATAAATGAAAAAAAATAATAATAATAAAATGGCATACTAATATCACAACTTATGAGAAAATGAAAAATACAATAGAACTGCAAATTCAATTCATATTCCAGATATACACATTCTTTTGAGACTTAATTAATTCTTGCCTACTTTTTGTCTTCGAGTTTACAGTACTCCACAAGCCACTTTCAGAACTGTAACCATCCTATAAAATCACTGTTTATTGAAGTGTAAAACCAATATCAATGTATTCAGTGCAACTGCTATGGTAGGTAAACACTTATGATAAAAAGGAGAAGATACAAAACATCAAAACAAACAAAGATCCTCAAAGAAATATTTATGATAACAAGTCACATCACAAGTGCATAACCTAGCCTGGTTGAAAATTACCAACAGATACAAGTAGTTTGCAACGCTTAATAGTAAAAAGACTTTTCGCTATCATTTTAATCACTGCGGCCAGAGTCGTCCTGGACAAAACTTCTGCTAGGCAACCTGAAGCTTCTGGAAGTTGTTGGCCATCTCGAGCACTTTGCTGTTCCTTGAAACTGGTGGTCGAGTCTGAAATACAGTCAAACATGACAGTATGTTAAACATGGATATACATTAAACTACAGGCATATACTGAACTAAAAGCACAATATAAAAGGTATCCTTGTGTATAATAATACCCCATATTTGTTAAGAAAGTAATGAAAAGACAAAATATCACAGAAAACAGGAAATAAAAAGGTATTTTTAAAGCTACTCATCTATTTTTTAAGAAAGACTACTTTCATCTTAGAAAGGAATAGTATATACACAATACATACAATAAAACTGCAATGACAACTTTAACATCAAAACATATTTTAGTTTCTCATTCCAAACTGCAAGTGATCAAGCCTTTATTGGAAGAGGATCAAAATGCAATATTTAGCAAATTTAATAGGTTACAGTAAGAAATAGATAGCATTACTACTTTACTTGTCACTCCATTTCCTCTCTGAGAGGTAATATAACTGCACTTAAACTTTTAAAGATTAGAAAAAAAGGATGGAAAAAATATCTTTCTACAACCTATCTACAACAAAACATATATATTAAATTTATATGCTTATGAAAGTGTTTTCTTAATTCATGTTTCCAATATCCATCTGTACTCACCTCAATAATTATTTCTTCAGTGTCCGGAGTCTTACTCTGCTTCAGCCTCCCTTCTCTGCGCTGCCCACAAGCACCCTCCAATCTTCAGCCGCTTGCTGAGCTACTCCATGTTCAGATTTGCCAGGGCTACCACTCACAGAAGTATTAACAGTATTTTCTGCTAAGGTGTTTGTGACTGCAGTAGTTGGGGCTTGAGAATCGGTGTGAGCAACACTTGAAGGTGACTGGGTTCGTACAGTGACAGTAAAAGATGGAGCAGCACTACGAGTTTCTGTTGCTGGTGCCGATGATGGTTTAGACAGCAGTGACACAGTTCCTGGGGAAGAGGGCACTGGTGCAGTTGATACTGAACTTACATTCTGAGATGGAGGAGTTGCTGGTGCTTGTGGACGGTCTTTACCTCCACTCATAAATCTTCGTCGTGCTGCCCCTATGTCTAGAGGTGATATTTCTACAGGCCCTTCTTTACTCTCAGTAACTTCTGCTGGTTTCACATCTTCAGATTCACTTACTGATGATGGACTCCTTGACACCTTTTTGGACTGAAGTCCTGCAACATTGGTGTGTGAGGTGTGAGACAAATGTACCGCAGGCTGGGTTTCTTCTTGTGGCTGTGGACGTGGTGGCCAGACAATACTTGAACCAGATCTGCCAGATACAGAAAGCTTTGCTGGAGGTGGTGTGGCTGGAGCACTTTCTTGTTCATTTTTGTTTAACTTCATTGGTTGCTGTTACACTTGAACTTCTACTGATGATCTTACTATATATGGATGAATTGGAAGTGGTAACTGTAACCCCAGCCTCTGATGTCACCATGGCATTTGATGAACGTACAGTGGGACCGTGAATGGGGGCAGTTACTGGCTTGTTGACTGATGCATTATTTGGTGTGGTGATAGTGGTAATGCTTCGACTTGCACTACTACTGATCATCGTGCTGCTAGTTGTAGTGATGTTGCTAATATTCCGAGAAGTGCTGACTGCATTACTGGTTACATCTGTGCTCATTGGTAGTGGGCTGGTATTGCCAGACACAACCAGCACTGTTGCTTTGGGTGATCCAGGTGCAGCTGTAGATGTATTTGTAATGGGCGGTGGACAAAAAGCCAGAGCTGGATTACCAACTGATTTGCGATTGAAGGAAATGGTGTTCAGACTTGGCTTTTGATGCCCTGTGTGAGAGATATTGAGGTTGCAGGCAATGCTGTCTCTTTACTTGGTATAGGGGAAGCAGGTGAGGCAACAGGAGCTCGAGTAGGTATGACGGTGACCTCTGATACTTCGCTTGTTTCTTCTATATTCTCCTCTTCTTCATTATCACTTTCTTGGACTTTTCCTTCTCAATATCCTTAACTTTGAAGGATCTACGAGCAAATACCTTAAACAACTCAGGCTGCTCATTCTTGGAGGAAGTACCCTGGCTAGACATAGAGCTAGCACGCTCCATCAGTGGCGCTCTCTCAGACACTAAAGGTTTTTCGTAATACAACACGTTCCACAGTAGAGTCTGGAGTGGTTCCTTCCACATTTGAATCTGAATCTACAATTTCTACATTTCCGCTGGATGGTGAAACATCTCTCAGTGATCCTTTACTGAACTGAGCGCTTCCTCTCTTGTTAAGTGAAGATGACTTACCATCCTTTGATTCAGACCTGTAAACTGCAGCACCATCAGACAATTCTGTCATTGAAGTTTCCTTGACAGACACATCAGCCTGACTTCTTGGAATTTCCTTGTCTTTTCCATCAACTTTAATACCTTTCTCTTGCTCTGTCTCATATACAACACTCTGACCTTTACTTTCCACCCTGTTAAGCTGAATCCGCATAAACTCAGGTACAGGATCTGGTTCTACTTCACGTGGAGGAACTCGTTTCATGCTTGGCTCCTTCTTGAGAGGACGACGAGGTGTACGTTCTCCCTCTGGTTCACTTTCATCAGTTCCAGAAACGGGATGTCCTGCATCATCTCCCTGCAAGGAATGGGAACGTAGTGCCTGCTTTGGTGATACCCTGTCAGCTGGTTTTATTTCTGCACTGATATTCTTTGATACCAATGTCTGTTTGATTTCTGTTGTTTTGTGAACAACAGGGTCTGGAACTTCAGAATCCTTAACTGGATGCCATGAACCTATAACATAACTCACATGGTCCACACTTGATGCCTTACGCATATGTTCATCTGATTCCCTTGTATGCAAAGATATACTAGAGTCCAATGACAAAGGCCCAGAACCTGAATCCTGGTTCCCTTGCTGCAAGTAATGGCTTTGTTGAAACTGATCTTGATGCTTTGTAATCCCTACCCTATGTTGGTTCTGGGAGTGTTGACGTATAAATACGCCCGGGATCTGTGTGCTTGTGAGTGAGTCTGTTGATGAACGTTGTGGTGAGGTAGACAAGATTTCTGTACTAGAAGTTCCACTTGAATTGGCAGTGTGTGTTAACTTCGAGTCACTTTCATTGTCCAGACTCTCAAAGGAAGCTGATATTCTTGAAATCTTGCTAGATATGCTAATTCTTCCTCCACATTACTCTGAGATGAAAACTTTGCGATGTATTGGTTCTCTTTGTGTCTCTGGCTGTCCTGCAAACTTCTCTGAAGCTTTTCACTTTCCTCACCCCACTGAAAGGCCTCGAGGGACGATCTTCGTAAGACGAAATTTGGAAAGCAGACTGCTGACCAGGACCGGTGCTCTCTAGCCGTCCTTCTACACTTGACGAGCGTGGAGTCTGTGGTGGCGAAGATGATGACTCTTTATAAGGTCTCTCCCGACTAGGATCTCTTGCTCGACCAGAAGGAGGCAGAGGATGAGAATCATTGTGTGCCTTTGTGGAAGCTCGCCCCAGCATAGAGAACCTTGAGCCAGAAGAGTCTCGCCTTTTCTCCCTTGAGGCTCGTTGGTCTCCTCCTCTCCGGAGAGGACTGACACTGTTTTCGCGGCTGTCATCGCCATTGCCACGTGATCGTCGTCGTCCCGAGCGCACACTACCAAAGAGGCGCTGAAGTAGAGGCTCATCTTTCTTCTCCTCTTTATCCTTCTTTTCTGAATCCCGTCGCTCAATGCTGATGTGCTGCTCATGAGAGGGGCTGCTATCTTCATCTGTACAAAAAGGGTTTTGGAATAAATGGTAAATGTATGCTACATTTGTGGTCATCAGATGATCTTAAATACTTTCAGATTATTCATCAAAGATTTTTCATTCCTTTTTACAAAATAAAAAAAAGTAACACCGATAATAACTAAACATATTAGAGCAATGTGTCATACCATAAGCAATATGAGAAGTTAACTCTGTAGGAGTTGATGGAGACACAGATGTAGGAACCTTCGAGGGAGTCCCAGATTTTGTACTGGCATCCTCATTCACTTCTGGTGTTGTGGGAAGACTCCTCTGTCCACCAATCTGTCAAACAAGAAGGAACATGTACAACACAATATATCGCAAATATATAAATCTGATTATTAGTAGTTTCCTTTCTATGGGAAGTTTATATCATTAATTTCACCAAAAAAAGTTCCTATACCCCTACATTACTTCCAGTTAAGATGTAGTTGCTTACCTATGACAAAACAAGCATTTGTGCTATAACAAAGGTATCTCGACAATAGTATTTGATAATTTAGATATATTTTACTTCTATTTATTCTATCAATGCTTCTGCTCAGAAACATGCATTACATTATCTTCCAAATATATAATCCAATCTACCTGCACTTCCCGGCTTCATATTACATTTGCTCTAAAAGTAAAACATGTTAGCAGTCAACAGACCAAATATCTGTGCAAATAACCTGGAATATTTTTTGCATTAAAGAATACTATCCCATATTGGTAGTAAATAAATCTCTAAACAGTTTGTTGAGTAACGAATGAACAATTTTGTTTTTTAATTACACTACAGTGGTCATTAAAAAAAGGGAGGGAGAGAGGGAAACGGAGAGGAAGAGGGAGAGGGGGGAGGGAGAGGAGAGAGAGAGAGAGAGAGAGAGAGAGAGAGAGAGAGAGGAGAGAGGAGAGAGGAGAGAGAGGGAGAGAGGAGAGAGAGAGAGAGGAGAGGAGAGAGGGAGAGAGGAGAGAGAGAGAGAGAGAGAGAGAGAGAGAGAGAGAGAGAGAGAGAGAGAGAGAGAGAAGGAGAGAGAGAGAGAGGAGAGA